TCAATGGCGCAGTGGTAAACACGGTTGCCTCATGAATTGAGGTTTGTTTCTTGTAATTGATTATATTGTTTATGCTAATAGTACCAGCGACTTGACTTGGTTCTGATATTTGGCGTCGTTGGTTATACATGCGTCACTCAACTTTCGTCAGAAGAACGTACAACCGTAGTTTATACAAGCTGCAATGTTATGAAATACAAACCCAGGTATCCGAGGGGATATTGCTTTACTCTGTTTGGTAATATTTACTTACTCCCTATTTGCACCTTTTCAAAGATAGAGGTATTCGCCTGCGCTCATTATTCTGCTATCTACGAACATCAACACGCTACTTTATGCTTTCCTCGGATGATGTTAGTCGATTTGACGTAGTTTCCTTAGGAGATTCGGTTAACCAGGTGTTATTTTCCATGTAGGGAATAGAAACCCCTTTTGATCTAAGTATTTTAAATAACCTAAATGTTTTTTTCCGTTAGCGCACAATCATCACCAGTAACTTAAACCACGTAGATTTTGAACTTTCTCCTAATATCCACAATAAAGCTCGCCAACAGCAGTTAACTGACAGCTGGGATCAAAAATCTATGTATCCATAATGTTTTTCAGAGAACTTCGCCAGACGATGGGACTGTTTCCCCCCAGCAAACTCCGGCTGTTTATCCGTTCTGATTCTTCTGTCGGTTGTGACTTACTGTCTAGTCCGCTGGACTCCGTTTTGATGTCTGGCGCTCTTAGGAGATGTCTTTTGTAAGTGCTGCTAGTTTCTTGTCCTTTCATCTCAAGAATCCCTTCAGAACTGGAGAACGTGCGTTACAAACAAAAGGATTTATTCAATAAACAGAGGAGAACTACGTCGCCCAATTGCACTATGCACTTAGACATTGCCCGGTAACAAAAGATCCCAACGAACTCCGAAAGGTAGTAAAACATCTTAACTGGTGTCATTCGCCTCACACAAGAATCGTATTGCGATAATGAAGAGTTAAACCGTAAGTGTAGATGTTCACTAAACGTCCCCTCATCTTCGGTGGGTGACTCACTCTCTTCGACTGACTTCTGCCCAATTAAACGCGTAGCCATATGTAAACAATGTCGCAACTCGAAGCAGGCAGGACAGCAGAGCAGAATGGAATATCTCCAGTTGTGATTAGTCTGTCAAACTTTTGACCGCTCCGTTCACAACTGTATACAGTGTGTATCACACCGACAAATTGTTGACTGCACGCCGGTGGGGAAGAAAAGCGCATCCAGAGATCGACCGATTGTATATACCTCGGTGGCGTTGAAAATTTTGAGAGAACTCCTTGAAAGACATATGTTGCAGAATAACTTCACTGATCCATCACGTGATGCAT